AACAGGCTGCCCAGGCAAGTGGTGGAGTCACCGTCCCTGGATGTGTTCAAAAAATGTGTAGATGTGGTACTTCAGGACATGGTTCAGTGGGCATATGTCGCGGTCGGGACTGACACCGACAAAAATATATGTGAGAAGGCAGCCTTTATTAAGTTACAAAAGCCAAGATGGCCGAGCTGGCGCAGCATCAAAAACATACCCTTTTATAACCTTTCTGATTTATCCACTGGTTCATGCACTAAGGCTGCTAAAATGATTCGCTCAATAGCTCTGTCCATTCACCTCTATTCACATACTGATTGGCTGGAGCTCCTACTGTACTTCCCACTTCATCTACTGTCCTTTTGCCAAATTTCTGCTCTGTGGTATTCACTTGTTTAGTCTCTCCTTGCTCAGTCTCTTATCACCTCCTCAAACCTGTTTACAACATTCTTCATCCATTTCTTTCATCTTCTCACGGGTATGCTGGGATCCTGTCGAGGCCAATTTCATCTTCCTCAGTGAGGCTATCCCCGACAGGCATGGTGGTGTTGGGTTGACGGTTGGACTTGATGATCTTAGAGGTCTTTTCCAACCTTATTGATTCTATGATTCTATGGCCGAGCTCAGTTAATCATAGTATTTTACTATGCAATGCACCTGCACCGTTGATTGAGTTATATTTCTACTTAGGATTACTGCCCAAAAGAGAATTCTTGTGCTCTAAGTGTCTTTTCAGGTGTTTGTCACTATTTTAATAATAGTTTCAAATGTCCCAAAGGATCCTGAAATTAGTTTGGTCATAAATAAGTCTTAAAGCACTGCCGATTATAAAAGAAAGCTATACATTTTACAGGAGGAACGTTCAAAATGAATAAACATATACAAATATATATATAAACACACACAAATACATTTTTTTAAAAAGGAAAATATTTTTAAAGCAGTGTCAGTCTTCAAACAGACATGAGGGACTAAAGTGTTTGACAAAATTCTTACAGATTTGGAAGGCTGTGTGTGGCTGTGTGCACACACATAAGGTATAAATAACAGACAGCACTGCAAGTAGAGTTTTTCATAACCCTAATTACAGTGTACTGATACATTAAAAACTGAACTGAATGACAATTATAAGGCAATCTGCATGCATTTTCTTAATGTTCATACCAGAAAAAAAGGAAACCACCATCTACTTTTAAAAGGCTGGTAACATTTTGACACTTCCTGACTAACTCTACAACCCATTCAGGCCTAACAGAACCTGGCTAAAATTAGGAAGATAAATACTATTCTAGGAAAAATTATAACTCCAGCATCTCATACATCTATGTATAGTGAGAAAAGACTATTAAAGTATCCCATATAAATTTGCAGTAATTGATATTAAATCAAACATCTTTGAAAACGAACAATTGTACCGTCTCGGTAAGGTTTAATTATCCTTCTAAAGCCACTTTGTAGTATTATACAATATATGAATTGTCTGATTTATTGTGCAGAGAGTCCAGCTTGAAAATTGGAAACTAATGTGAATGAAAGAGATGACAGAAATATCTCTTGCTTGGTCTCCTGCAGGGCTTACCGAGGTCACACAGAAGTGCTGAGCCTGGTGATGGAACTACAGTTATTTCTGCCAAAACGGCATCGCTCAAATACGTCAGTCGAATATATATACATGTGTACATATATAATGAGACTGTTTCCTTCAGAATGTGAGCCTGTCTTAGAAAACTGTGACACTGACACACTAAGGATTGATTATATTGTCCCGAACCCAGTGTTTTACACCAAGCAGCACATGTGTAACATTGCCAAGCTGGAAATCTTTTGATTTCCATTCACCATTATCAGACAATATTATCAAAGCTTCTATATTAGATATTATCATACTTTTTTTTTTCTCCAGACGTCTTTTACTAATGTACTAAGAAAAAAAGGAAAAATCAAACTGGAGCTCTCTTTTTTAAAGTCAGGAATTTCAACATGCACCCACAGAATCCTCTTAAATTTAAGCCCCAGAGATGAAGGATAGAAGGCACGTGAAGTTTTAATGCTTCTAACCAGTCTAAATTCAGACTCATAAAACTGCGGCCAACACTGTGAACCAGAGTTGAACCTACTGGGTTTTATGACTGGGGGTTCATAAAAATGACTGGGATGTCTTGACCAGTATGTTAGTGGGAGAAAGGACGCTTGTGCACCAGTGATGGGACTGGAAAGGAAGAAGTTGTGAAAGCACTGTGCAACCAACCACTTGCTGAAAATGCTCTAAGTTGGCAAACTGCCTTTTCATACAGTGCCTATTCATGTCCAAGGTAACATGATCTCTACTTATTTATGTTTTCCTCATTCCATTGGTAGATTTGATTTACAAGTAAGTTCCTTGAAACATTTACTCCTCTGAAATGTCAAATGGAGTCAAAATCACATCCATCACAAATGGTGAATCATCTTCACATCCAACCCCCAGGTTTGACTCATTTGCCTGCTGCAGGGATATCATTCTTTATTGCTAAAAGCTCACGCCTATATACAAACATAGGGTGAAAACATTTCTAGAGTAGAAAGCTTGAGCACACTTGTTGTCTTACTTGAGGCTTAAATCTTTGCTTGCATGGCCTGAAGCTGAATGTGCTAACGCATGCCAATGTGCCAGCGGGTATTTTAAGTATACTCTGGACACTTGGGGACAACAGTTAGCAACAAGGATGGAAGGTCATTGCATTTAATGTGCTTTTGAGACTGTTTTAATCTTGCAGCTGGAATAAAGCCTGAGACTATCCATTCTACTGACAGGGCTTCTTTGCTCTGAAGAATTTCACAGGCAAAGAAGATGGCTGTGACTCACCAGGCTCAGTGTTTAGGTCAGAGTTTGCCTGAAAGAACTGAATAAGCTGAAAGTCTTACTCATCGAATGCTTCCTATAATTAATTTAATTAATTTACATTTGTAGACATTTGTAATGCAAATATTAAGGAAGGTACAAGTGAAAAGTGAATGGAAGTGTGTGTTTGTAAGAACCAGAAGAAAGAGCAGAGTAAAGAGTTAAAAGAATGCCCCTTACTGAACATAAACGACATGTTCCCAGGACACCATTCCTGTGTTGTTTATGTCAAGGCCACAGCACAGAGGACTTGCCAGCAGATGACCATGCACTCTGCCACCAGGAGGATAACATCCAGGTTGCAGCATATCACCCATACCATTACTTTTCCTGTTGGCCCACACAGAAAATAGGCTATAGATATAGCCTATATACTCCAGACAACGAAAAATGTACTACGCGCTGATGACTCCTAAAAGGTATAAAAGATCTGTCCATCAACTAGCCTGTCATTTCTGATCAAGAAGAACCACAGAGACAGGATAAGGACTCAGTAGCTGGCGTACTTTCTCGCACGCTGCCTACCAGTGATGCTCACTAGACAACATGAGCGCACACGTCCTGGTGCTTGTGAGAGTGTGGGTGTGAGTGTGAGTGAATGAGATCTATGAGAGGGTGACTGTGAGCTGAGAAAAATCAGCTCACTTAGAGATTTTGTAATTAAATATCACCCTCCCTTCCTCAAAGATTTCACATCATTGGATTTTGTTACGCGAAATCCCCTAAACATCAAATGGTATAAAATAAGTCTTCAAGAAGGCAGCAATATTCTGTGCTTCCATGACTCTATACAAACGGTAGAAAATCGGACTTTTTGTTTTCCCACTGAGTACATTTTTGCACTCCACCTTAAACATGAAAAGCAACTTCTTCAGTGAAATATTAATGCGAACATCATTAGCTACATCTAGCTACATTAGCTACATCTAGACTCTAGCTACATATAGCAGCATCTGCTTGCATTTTTCAGATGCTTGGGTTTTTCACATCTATTAAAAAATGCATGAGTAAGTGGTATTCCGCATTACACCTGTACAATTCCAGGGCAACTCCATTAATGTTACTGATTGCACTAGACTAAAAATACATGGTTACTATGCTCTTTTTTATTGTCTGGTGTGAGTTGGGTTTTTTTGAAGATGTGTATACGAAACCTTAGAGAGAGAATATTCTCTATAAAAGCTAAATAAAATAGCATCACCAGCTACTAGTGTATTACCAACCTTCAGTGACCTTATGGTGTAAAAGTCACAGTGTTTTAGGTAACAATCTAGTTAAAGAAAGATGAAGTGAGCAAACCAGCATTTTAAACATATAAGTATTTATGATGTTACATACACATTGAGTAGATACATTAGTGCATATATATATAGTACACAAAGCTTTAAAAAATAGGAAAAATGTCTCACTAATATTGACGGTAGTAGAGAGAAGAAATTGTGCACTCAGGACATTTTCAGAGTTCCTACAGAAATTCATCTCTCCTAACCTCAGATGTCTCAGTCTAACATAGTCACCTTATGAACTCTTTATTATCAATGGAGAGAAACAGGCACCCCCAGGAGGTGAGCTGTTCAGCCCATCTCAGACCGACACGAATGGCCCTCTCAGGTTATTTACTTCCTTACCTTGCCTACAAAGGCCAACTACAGTGACAAACTGAGAAGTAAATATGCAAATTTTACATGGATGAAGTTATAAGGGCTTCCTCTGCCCTTATAACAGAGATCATCCCCCACTACACACTGCAATATTCTTTCAAGCCTTTAATTACTTTTCCTCTTAATGAACATGTGCACCCTAACACTGAAGCACAGTCCACCCTCAGTAACAAGATAATAAAGTATTTTTGTAATATCCATATTTTTATGTTTTTTTCATTACTTTATTGTTTATTTCTTATATAAGGTAGTCCAGCTCTCTGGAGTTTTGCAGAAAAAAAAACCACCATACACTTTTCTTTAAGATCTTGCAAAGAAAAACATAAATAAAATCTTCATTTGTGGTAGTAAAACCCTCTTGTACCTTTCTCTGCCATATCTTTACTTGTGCTGGAATGAAAACACTCCTTAAAAGAAAAAAAAAAAAAAAAACGCCTTCTGAAACAAAAAATATATTAAGAAAATAATGACTTTACCTATTATAACGTGCATGCCAAGTCTTGCCAAATGCTTCACAGTTTGGTAACCAATTCCTTT